GTGTCCACATGTCCCTCTTACATTGCTGTTATTGAGTATGACTCAGCTCTGAACAACCAGCCATCAGGCAGGGCACTAATGATCACTCCTTAGCAGAGTTGTAAAGTACAAATACTTTGTTACTGTACCTAAGAAGAATTTTCGGTTATTTGTACTTGAGTAAATATTTTTCAGCCTATTTTTTACTTCTACTCCTTATATCTTTACAATTATCTGTACTTAACACTCCTTATATAATTTTTTAAAAAGGTAAGAAGTAGAAAGTCATTACTGCTATATTTCATTCTGGCTCGTTATTGTTAAAATAAATAACGTCCTGATATTATGTGCCTCCTGGATGGAGTGAATTTAATACTTTGTCCACAACCCATCACACCTTCTTGCCTTAAAAATATTTTTTGGAGAGGTCACCTGTCAATAAATGTCCTTTTGGAAAATCTAACCACTCATTTTTACTCAGTACTTTTAATTTTAATACTTAGGTACATTTTATGTCAGAAATTTACTTTTGATACTTGAGTAAAAAATACAACATATACTATTAGATTTTTACTTTAGTAGCCCAATATTCTCAGAGCAGACTTTAACATTTACCAAAGTAATGTTATGATAAGATATTTGTACTTTTACTCAAGTATTACTTTGAGGTACTTTGTAAAAGGTTAGGTTGATGGTCCTCCTACAGYTGAACACTGTGTCATCAGCAAACTGGTTGATCCATCAGGTGAAAGTCTTAATAAGGCTGAGTTTACCTGAAATTCCTCAGGCTGAAGACTTTCGGATAAAAGACAAAATGTCAACAAAGAAGCTCTCGTCCAGAGGACCTGACTTAATTTTCTTAGATTTTAGTACCTGGATTATTGAGATGCATCAGGAAATGATCTGGCAAAATCTCTAAAAACTATAAAACTCTTAGCCTGGCCCTTGCCTTCCTARGCAGTTCCGTTTCCCTTCTGTGCTCCTTCTCGGACTTRTCCCATTGAGATGGATTTCGCTGGCAGATTTTTAGCTGAACCAATCAGAGAACAGAACATCAATTTTCTACGCAGTGTCTGCTAGTTATTTTAGCATATGGCAGTGGAGGAAGTGAATGAAGCCAGTCTGTGTTGATAAGGCTTCCACCCCGGTGGGGTGTGCGGCTGGCGGCCGGTGTGCTGGGGGTTCCCGGGGTCTGGGGCTGGGCGCTGGGGTATGTGC